GTCAGAGGGAGAAGCAGACTCCCTGCTGAGCAGGGAGCCCGATGCGGGACTCGATCCCGGGACTCCAGGATCATGACCTGAGCCGAAGGCAGTCGCTTAACCAACTGAGCCACCCAGGCGCCCAAAAGGCCCTAATTTTTAACCACTTTGTAAATAGTCTTTCTTCATAATTAAAACAATGATAATAATAATACATTTCAACATTTCGTATTTTTAAAAAGTGCATTTAAATGCTTTCTCAACTCATTATCTCAACAATTTCAGAAAGAAGATAGAATGGGCATTATTTTTTTGTTTTTTATTTATTTAAGTAACCTCTATACCCAACGTGGAGCTCAAACTCATGACCCTGAGATCAAGAGTTGCAGGCTCTTCTTACTGAGCCAGTCAGGTACCCCAAATGGGCATTTTTTAAAAGGTTTATTTATGGGGTGGGGGAGAGGCAGAGGGAGAGGGAGAGAGAATCCCAAGCAGACTCTGCATTGAGTGTGGAGCCTGATGCGGGGCTTGATCTCACAACCCTGAGATGACGACCTGAGCTGAAACCAAGAGTCAGATGCTTAACCAACTGAGCCACACAGGCGCCCTGCCTACCCCACCCCCCCATAGGCATTTTAATCTCTATGTTGTGCAGATAAGATCTTGGGGCTCTAAATATTGAGTGATTTGTCTAAATTTATTATCTTATAAATAATAACTCAGGAATTAGGTAAATAATCTGTCTTCTGGTTCAAGTTCAATATACCTCTCACTAGAACAAAAATGAGTTAATCCAATTGCTTTTTTGATCTCAGCAGTGAGATGAAAAGATTTTTACTACAGGGATATTTTTATATATTCACTGGCTATGTTAGGAGCCCCATATTGAAGAAAAACCGCCATCAGCTGAGCAGGTGGGGATTTCTCTAGTCCAGCAGCGCTGCCATTCTGGGCCAGATAACTGCATTGTGGGGGCCGTCCCGCACACTGCGCGGAGCGTCTGGCTGGAAACTGAAATACACGAATAACTAAGTTGAGAGTAAAAGTCCCATCCAAGAAAAAATCTACCAATGTAATGACTATTGCTGATCATTATTCACTGATAAGAGGTATTTTATGTATTTTAGGCAGGCAAAAGTTTTTGACATTAAGCATTTCCCAAAATAAAATTCTATTAGTGAAATTTTAAAAATCTGTACTTACTTTTCGTAACTCATCAGAAATAGGAAAGGGATCACAAAAAGAATCTAAGCATTTAACAATATGTCCATTGTCTCGTACAATATCTTCATCATGCAACCGGTTAAAAAATGACATTGAAAGCTGTGTACAAGGAACATTTATAGCTTCAATTTTTTTCACTTCAGTTCCTGAAAAAAATTATTTTACAGAGATATAAAAATTAACTTACTATTCTCAATTATTTCCAAAATAAATATCACCATACAGAGATTCTAGTAGCCAAGTAAGACATATATCTTGATATATTTAAAAGACACATCAGTATAAGGATTTTATTGTTATTATTTTGCAGTTTATTTTTATTAATCATTAAAAGTCTGAAACAAAATTTCACACTTTCAGGCCAAGATGAGGGATATGTAAATTAGGAAATGCCTGAAAATGAGATACGTGTTTTGTGTAGGTGTTCTTACATCAGTTTTTTTTTTTTTAAAGATTTTATTCATTTATTTGAGAGAGAGAATGAGATAGAGAGATCATGAGGGTCAGAGGGAGAAGCAGACTCCCCGCCGAGCAGGGAGCCCGATGCGGGACTCGATCCCGGGACTCCAGGATCATGACCTGAGCCGAAGGCAGTCGCTTAACCAACTGAGCCACCCAGGCGCCCCGTCAGTTTTAATCCGTATGTCAGAAGTGCCCTATAAAAGCATAGGAACCAGTTTGTGAAACGATTTTGGATTTGTATTACGTTCCATGCCTTATAATTCGTATTACAAAAGCTTTAATTAATGTAAGTAATGGGTATTTCTAAAGTCCTGAGGATGTCTTGAAAATTTTTCTCTCCATTTAAAAATTTCTCCCTTGTGATCTCATTTACAGCGTCTATTATGAAAAATAGCTTTTCCAGGTCAAGGTAAGCTTGCAAACAGGCCCTAATCAGGTTATCACAAGTCTGGAATTAGAGAAATCTGTAACCACGGTGTTTGGTCTATTCTCCTCTGGTAGCTGCAGTTCTAACCCTCCACACCTTCCGGCACCCCAAACCAATTTCCTGAATGCGTCCTGTAGGAACGGGGTTTCCATTAGTAGAAGCTCTTCTAAATTACAGAAAGACACAAAGATTAAAATGAGTATTTTTATTACTGCCTTGATGAATCAATTTCTCTTTTATGTGCGCGCACACACACTCGCACACATATACTCACACACGCGCGCGTGCTCTCAGCTATAAGGAAGGGGTGGTGTTCTTTGCAGGTTCTCCCTAGAACAGCACACCCAGGTGGGGGAGCCCTTGGTCTTCCCTCTCCTGACACATCTGCTTCATCTCTGACGTGAGGAGGAGCTCGAGCTTGAGGAGTAACACTGGTGATTATTTGCACTTCCTCCTCCTGGCTGTCCACCCGGAGTCCGGCTAGGACCTGCTGCTCTCGTTCTGCTCCTGAGCTGGGCTTGTGTGAGGCACGAGGGGTGTCTGGAGACGGGAACTGTGTCTGAGCAGGAGCAGCATAGATCCACACAGTCTTCAGAGATGGGCTGGTGGCCCCCGGAGGCGGGCTGACATTGCGCAACATGCCACGTTCATAAATCTACCCTAGCTCCCATGCGGCGAGTGGTAGGAGGGTTTGGATGGTGAGGAAAAGGCAATTAAATTCAAACCACTTAATAGGAGGCATAGAAAGAGCATTTGCTATGGACTAAATTATGTCCCTCCAAAATTAATATACTGAAGTGCTAACCCCCAAATGTAATGGTATTTTGAGATGGGGGCTTTGGGTGGGGTCATGGCTTCACCAAATGAATTTTGAAGGGATACAATTCAGTCCAAAGCATTCTGCCTCTGCCCCCCGCCCAATTCATGTCCTTTTTACATGCAAAATGCACTTATCTTATCCTAACAGCCCCCAAAGTCTTACCTCATTCTAGCATCAACCCTAAAGTCTAGAGTCCAAAGTCTCACCTACATATCACCTCAATCAGATATGGGTGAGACTGGAGGTTCAGTTCGTCCTGGGGCAAAATTCCTCTCTGGCTATGAACCTGGTAAACCAGACAAGTTACATGCTTCCAAAATACACTGGGGAGACAAGGAACAGACATTTCCATTCCAAAAGGGGGAAGCAGAAAAAAAAACGGGTGATGGTCCTAAGCAAGCCTGAAACCTGGCAAGGGAAATTTCATGAGATTTTAAGCCTCAAGAATACTCCTCTTTGGTTCAGTGCTCTGCCTTCCTGACCTGCTGGGGATGGTGGCCCAGCCTTTAAGATGCTCCCCCTCCGTGTGTTCCTGAAACTGAGGTGCGGCCCTGAGGACCCGAGTTGCCTTTCAGCCTTTCTCTGCTCCTGAAGAAGGGCCGTGTCTGCAGCCAAATGGCTCTCTGGTCTGGTCCTGTAGGATCTGCGATCCGTTCCCTGTAGTTCAAACTGGCAGGGTCTTTACGGGCACAATCCCACCTCAGTCCTGGGTTTCTGTTGAAGTGGCTGGGCAAGCCTGAGTTACGTGCCTTCTCTCTGTATCACACGGTTGCTCAGCCACATTTGTTCTCTTCAGATGAATCTTTCTCGTTTTTTTTTTTGTTGTTGTTTTGTTTTTACAATATGAAAAGGCTGAGAATATTCCAAATCTTCAAGCTCTGGTTCCTCCTTAACAATTCCTTCTTCAATCCATCTCTTTCCTTTCTTACTTAATTATAAACACCCAGGAAGAACCCGGCGGCTCCTGTAATACTTGGCTTAGAGATCTCTCAGCTAAACATACAATTTTATCCCTTGCAAATTCTACCTTCCACAAAGCACTACATCATTCAGCCGAGGTCTCTGCCATTTTATGGACTGTCTTTCCTCCAGTTTCTGCTAACAAGGTCCTCATTTCTGTATGGGACCTCACTAGAATCAAGCTTCCCACCCATATATCTGGGCTGGGATGCACTCAAAACTCTCCCCACCGATACCCATTGCATAGTTTCGAAGCCACTTCCCCCTCTCCCGGCAATCTGCAGTAGTCTACTTAGGCTGCTATCACAAAACACCAGAGTCTGGCTGGTTTAAACAACAGACATGGATTTCTCACAGTTCTGCAGGCTGGGAAGTCCGAGACCGCGGGGCCGGCTGTTCTGGTTCCTGGTGAAGGCACTCTTCCTGACTCGCACATGGCTAGGAGCTCTACTCTCTCTTTCTCTTGTTCTAAGGGCACTAATCCTGTCCTGAGGGCCCCTCATGATGTCATCTAAACCTAATTATCTCCCAAAGGCCTCACCTCCAAACACTCTAACTTTGGGGGTTAAAGCTTCAATACAAGAATTTTGGGGGGACATAATTCAGTCCATAGCACATGCTAACTGTTATGCAGAAATATGGTAAACTTACGTCTCCAGCATGTACAAGGTATGTACTGCATGGCTAGGATCACATATGAAGTTAAGAACTTATTTTTCCCCCTTGATACTACCATTAAAATACATGGGGGTTTCCTATTTATTTTTTGTTTTTCTGACAGTGCTCGTTTCAATGCTGAAATGGCAGAGGCGGGTAGTGGAGAGGTCCGGGTCTTGAAATCTCAGCTCTGTTGAGTCCGGCCAGCAGTAAAATGGTGCCCATTACTTGGCTCATCAATCTGACTCTTCATCTGTGAAATCGGGATAGATAAGAACACCTCTCGGAGCTGTTCTGGGAATCAAAGGAGCTAATGACTATAATGCCCCTTAGCTGAGCACAGAGGACACGTCTGTCATGTGTCAGCCCGCAAAGGGCGCGGCGTGTCCGTGTGCAGAGGGCTGTGGCCGTGGCCACCGGTGGAGGGACGCAGCGGCCCAACAGTGGCAGGCCAGGTGCTGGAGCCGGCAGGGACGGAGATGCCCATCGTACTCTTCAAAACGGCTCACCTGCTAAAACAATGTCTGCTCTCTCATGTTTGAAAGCTGTTTATTTTGCTTATAAAGGCCCGAAGAGGAAAAAGCGGGAAGACAGTTGATAATTCAGAGAAAGAAAAGATGGCAAAGGAGATAAAAACGAGCTAGTGGGAGACCCTCACAAACCACTGGAGACTTCGGCCTCAGAATCAGAGCGCTAGGTCTGCTGCCGACGTGTCAGAGGACTCCTAACGGAATCTGTCAGGTGCACGTGGAATTTCAGAACCTCTGTCTGCAATGCCTCTTCTAAACATCAGGACAAAACTCAGTACTGTTTTACTCTTTTGTGAAGTGTCTACCAATACAGGGGAAGGTTGACTTTTTTTAATGAACCTTATTTTTGTAAAGGAATTGACTGAAGTTACTGCAAACATGTTTTATAAACACTGATATGTGCCTCTGATGACTTCCTCTTGCAGATTTTGAACCGGTGAGTACATTTGCTCAGATACTTTAACTTTGTAAGTACTCTTAAGATCACACTGTACCAGCTTTTTGCTTTATAAATTTTGCAGTGGCCTTTAGCCTAAAGCAATAAAATGTAACCTACTGATTCTAACATCATGAACTGTTTGTAATCTTGTTCTTGACTAATACCTTAAGCAAGTAATTTCTGTGTAAGACTACTAGAATTCCATGAACACGCAATGTACAAATTTACCAAAACTACCCCATCTCATTTAAAATCTACTTATATTTTTCTTGAGCATAAATCCACGTTCCTAACCAGATTTTCCTAAAAGGAAAAATGATGTGTTCTATTGTTAAAACACCTCAATCTAAAATTTGAAATATCATGTTCATGTTTTTGTTTTCAAAATAGCCTTTTCTATTAACTCTGATTTATTCCTTGACCTGAGAGTTATTTAAGAGATTTGAGTGTTATTAATTGTTTGGGTAATTTGATGATGTCGATGACGTGGGGCTTGATCCCTGGACCCCGAGATCATGACCTGAGCCGAAATCTAGAGTTGGACACTCAACCGACTTGAGCCGCCCAGGAGCCCTTGGGTGATCTTTAAAACTTCTAGCTGTGTTTCATGGTACTATGAAATTATGATGTATATAAGGTTCTCTTTGTGAGAATTTAAGACTTTCTTTCGTGGCTTTATGTATTACTTTAGGAATGCTCCGTGGCGGCTGCCCCGTACCCCCTGGCTGGGCCGTGGCACCCTCCCATCAGTGGAATCTTCCGCGACGCTCTCCTCTTGCCCATCAGCCAGTTTCTGCAGTTCCCCTCGCTGCTCCCTGCATCTAGTGGAGTCCATGGAAGGGATACAAGAAATACTTCCCCAATGAAAGAAAAGAGAGGATGAGGGCTCTCGGGCACCAAGCCAGGACAGGAGCAGGGGCTCCCAGGAGACCCTGATGTGATCCAACCAGCCAGGCAGTACTCACAGTGTGGATGTGAATAGTGAAAATGCCTGAGCAAAATTTTGTCACAATAATAAAACGGGCATCTGAAAAGATGACAGTAAGTTTTATTTACCTAATGTGGTCCACTGTCCAGAAGAATCTGAAAGTAACTTCAAATTGGGAATAACATTTGGGTCTTTGAAGAAAGCCTAAAATACAAATTTGAGGGGAACCAGTTAGATACTTTATTATAAACAATAGTAAGAATTAACTTTTTTTCTTTTTAAAGAGTTTATTTATTTGACAGAGAGACACAGTGAGAGAGGGAACACAAGCAGGGGGAGTGGGAGAGGGAGAAGCAGGCTGCCCGCTGAGCAGGGAGCCTGATGCGGGGCTCGATCCCAGGACCCTGGGATCATGACCTGAGCCGAAGGCAGATGCTTAACGACTGAGCCACCCAGGCGCCCCAAGAATTAACTTCTAAAGTAACTATAACAGAATCTCATTTAAGTCAAATTGGGGAAGGAGGACGATTTTAAGTGGGTAAAATGTCTAATACATGTTTTATAAAGAGATGAAGTTTTTGTTAACTTCAAGTTGTTACCTTCAAGTATGAACAACACCGTATGTCCGAGTACGGATACCTTTGGGACTTAATAAATAGAAACTAATGACTTCCAGTGAAAAGCAGGAGGTTATATATTTGGAAATTTTGATTTTCTTCAATCTTCAGTCGTTTACCCAAGTAATTGTTTTAGTAATCGCCACTCCCTCTCCCCCGAACTACAGCTCAATCTAAAAGTCATCAGCAACTCAATTCTACCCAAAGGCCACATAGAAAAGTGACAGGTTTGACCTTCTAACCTCATCAGACCATGGCTGCTTCTGACTCTGGACACACTGAGCCTCTTTACTTTCCTTGAGTGGGATGTCCCCTCCTTTCTCACAGACTTTAAACTTGCTAATTTCTCCACCTTAAAAAAGAGTCTTTTTTAGTGTCATGCTGGAACCAAGTCAGGATAGCCTGACTGCTAAACTTTCAGGAATCTTTGTTTGCTGGTTTTTAAACTACTGATCTTGATCTAATGCTGATTTAGATGGATGAATATTTTGATCTAAGGGCAGTAGGAAGATACTACAGAGATTTAAGCAAGGAAAGATGTGATTAGTCCTGTTTTTCACAGTACACTTTGGCAGCAGTATGGAGCGTGAATTGGAGGGCTATTAAGAGAATGGTGCGGAGGGAAGGTACCGCTGAAATCCAGAAAGATCCGTCGCTCACATGAGTCAAGAGGACAGCAAGCAGGGAGGTAGAGAAGGGAATGGATTCAGTGACTCTACAGGAGGAGGGGACAAAGAGAGGAGGAGGAACCACACATGACCCCTGGGATTTTTGCATGAATGTCATTTCCAGGCAGAGTGAATGTTATTTAATGAGAAAGGGAACAGTGAAGAGGACCAGGTGTGCAGGCTGAAGAGTAATAAAATCAGTAAGTATCTGTGAATGCTGACGTTACGCAAGGCAAAAATTCCTCTCTGCATGGCGTTGCCGTCCTAGTGGCGGAGGGATAAAGGTAAACAGGTATCATATACACCCAAATACGAAAAAATAACTTTTCCCTAAAACTACTCCTCAGAAAAAAAAGCAAGTCGCCTTATAACTTTATAAAGTCTTTCAAACTAAAGAGTGTTTGTGCTATTATCTTAATTTGTATAATATACATTTTGAAAAGAAACATAAGCTGGAATTAACCTCAATTAATACTGGTTTCGAATGCTTTTTAGATGTCTTCTGCAAAAATCAGGAAAAGGGAAATCTAATTCAGATTTAGTAATTATTCCTGGGGGGGGAAGAATATCAACTCAATTTTTAGTATCAACTTATAATTGAATTTTACAGGCCACTATAAATGGAAGTAGTCTAAGTGACCTGAAGTGAACTGACCCAGAGCAATGGAAGTAAGTCTTCAAAAGGCCCCTCAAATAAAGCAACATGATAGCTGTTATGTTGTTGGGGTTAATAATACACCAAAAGAATAAAAACAAAACCAAAAACACCCAAAAGCCCTGCCCTAATACATGCAAATGGTTTGGATTTGTTACAGAATTTCCAGGGAGGCATTAGAAGGGACTATCTCAACTTTAGGGAAGCTGATGTGCTCTGGAAATATAGTGGATGATTCACAAACAGGTCATACTGATAACAAAGACACTGATGTCAAAGTGCATGTAAAGATCAGAATAAACTAGTTTCGTAAAATGTGAGAGTGGGAAAAGTATTTCTAAATTAATATATTCTTTTATATAACATAGAATTTTCAATGTATGTCTATTATACGCCATGCATACGAAATACAAGTAGATATCTGACTCTATCATCTATCCGGCAGATTGCTGGTTTCTGATCCAATATCTGTTCTCTTCGTCCTTAAGGAATCCAGTCTTATTTGGGACAGCAACGTGCTCAGCTCAAAGCCTGCCCTCCTAGTCCCTGTGGCATGAGGCCATGAAGTGTGAGCAGAAGTGTGCTGCAGACCTTGAGAAAGCTCTGTAACTTGCTTCGCTGCACTTTACGTGGAAGAGTCCCCTCCTTATCCTTCGTCCCAATGGGGAGGATGCCCAAACCGCATACCGAGCCCAGAGCTCTCTCTTGAGACTCAAAGCAAGATCTTAGATTCAACAATCCAGGATACTGTCACTTGGATGCACTTCAAGTTTAGAATGCCTGAAGCTAAACTCATTTTCCTTGTTTATTCTTTTGCATTTTCTGTGGCTTTAACAGCATCATCTACCACTCCGGTCAACTCCATCAGAAACTTGCTCACCCTACGCGTCCCCCATTGGCCTCACCCTCAGTATCCTATCAGTCCTTGAGTACTGCCTTTCTCCGAAGCATCTCTTCAGGCCATCCCGGAGCTGCTGTCGTAATTCAGAGGGTCCTCTACTGTCTACAGGACAAGTTGCCAGCCCGGTCTCACTGCCGCCGGACTCAGTCCCAACAATTTACCCTCCACACTTCTGCCAAGGTGACCGCAGTACTGTCAATGTTACTGGCTTCCGGAAAACCTCTCAGCACCTCCTCATTAGCTGGATAAAGCCCAAACTCCTCTGCAGGGCACAAAGGTCTAAAATACCCTCCCACCCATCTCATATTATCCCCCACATTGTCCACCTAACAAACTCCTTCCTATCTTTCAGGGCCAATCTCAAGGAGCTTGTCTTTTGTAAACCCTCCTCTGAGCACCTCAGTCAAAAACCAGACAAAACAAAGATTGCTTTCTCTTTTGTGCCACCACAGTGGTTTGTATACACGGCCTGTTTCACCTGACTTCTCGCTCTGCAGCCCCAGCTTTGGACCCTTTCCCTTTCACTGTGTCTTGTTCATCCGTACGGACCTAGAGACTATGGAAATGCTTGCAGAGGGAATGATTCCTTCCTTCCTTCCTTCCATCTATTTACTCCTTCACAAATGAACTTTGGGAACATAATTTGTTTTTAAAATTGAAAGGGAAAATTTTAAATCTGGAATTCTAGTTTTAAACAATACCGTTTGTTCAGTAATGAGTGTTTGTAGTGGAAATGACATGGAAGTTTGTGTCAAAGGCCCCTGGGTCTTATCATTTGCTGGGTGTTCTTGCACAAATTATTTAACCATTTTGAGCCTCCATTTCCTAAGCTATGAAATGGGGGTCAAAACACCAAATTTACCATATTGTTGTAAAGGTTAGTGACAAATGTCTAAGATGTACTGAAAGCTCAGTCTGGCACACACTATAGAGAAATTTTGGGAGTGCCTGGGGGGCTTAGTCGGTGAAGTGTTTGCCTTCAGCTCAGGTCAGGATCCCAGGGTCCTGGGATGGAGTCTGGTGCTGTGGGGCTCCCTGCGCAGCAGGGAGTCTGCTTCTCCCTCTGCCTCTGCTGCTCCCCCTGCTCGTGCATGCGCACTCTCCCTCCCTCTCAAATAAATAAAATCTTAAAAAAGAGAGAAAAACGCGGTGTAAAGTAGTATACAAACATTAATAACAATAACATTACTTATTATGAGCCAAGCATTTTGCTATTATATTTCCTTTAATCTTTTTTTTTTTTAAAGATTTTTATTTATTTATTGAGAGAGAGAGAGAATGATAGAGAGAAAGCATGAGAGGGAGGAAGGTCAGAGGGAGAAGCAGACTCCCTGCTGAGCAGGGAGCCCGATGCGGGACTCAATCCCGGGACTCCAGGATCATGACCTGAGCCGAAGGCAGTCGCTTAAACAACTGAGCCACCCAGGCGCCCCTTTTTTTTTTTTTTAAGATTTGATTTTTAAGTCATCTCTACACCCAGCATGGGGCTTGAACTCACAGCCCTGATACCAAGAGTCGCACGTTCTACTGACTGAGCCAGCCAGGTGCCCCAATTTCCTTTAATCTTCTTAATAATCCATCAGATACTCAGCACTGTTTTCATATTCAAAAATACTTCTTACATGCCAAGCACTGTGATCATTTTGCAGAACAGTAAATGGAAGCTGAGGAGGTGGTGAAGTGACGTGCCCAGTGTCACAGAGCTCAGTGGTGGTGGAATTTGAACAGACAGCTGGAGGCCAAATCAGGGGAGGATCCAGGTTTCCTACGGCTCTAAGCTTATACAATTTTAGGAACTCTCAGAATACAAAAATGTCTATCTTAGAAAATGTTCAAAAACACATGACTATGGGAACATACAGCTAGATCCCTCAGAGTTCCTTAGAAGGGCCTCTGCAAGTAAGGAGCTTGGCCAGCAAGGAGTCCCGAGGATTCATTAGCTTCAGAGTGGATCCCCCGCTGGGCTGCAGTCTGAGCCATTAGGCTCTCTGGCCTCCAAATCAGTTACGTGAGTAAAAATTATGATTTTATAAGTACACTTCTTTGAACTGAAATATGGGAATATAAACATGAAGATCTTGAAATTTAGGAAAATTTAGAAAAAAATGGCCCGGTATTATGAAAATCTGTTGTGCTTTATGGATAAATCTTGAATCTGTTGAAGAATTCTGTTGAAAAACCCAAATTAATTTTATGCCCTCCAGGAAATTTTTCCTGACACCAATGCCCCTCCATTAGGTGATGTTTCTGTGCCGAAGGCACCTTGTATCCTCCATTGTAGCAATTATTTTATTTTGTAGAGAGGTTTTTTTTAAAGATTTTATTTATTTATTTGACAGAGAGAGACACACCGAGAGAGGGAACACAAGCAGGGGGAGTGGGAGAGGGAGAAGCAGGCTTCCCGCAGAGCAGGGAGCCCGATGCGGGGCTCGATCCCAGGACCCCGGGA